CAAAAAAAAAAAGAAAAGCAACAGCAAAAATGAAAAAGTACTGAGTATAATAAAAAGGAAAATACGTGAAATGTTATATAATTTATGCCAGCAGTGCGAGCGGTCCTTCCTCCTTTCTTTTTTATCCTTAGTATCAGTATTTCAGTGGCAGCCAGAGTTTCTCACAGGATTCGCAGGACTCGTATAAATATGCAATTTAGTTTAGGCATTTGAATATTTTCTTCACCGCGCGCTGCCTTTCAATCTTTTGATGAGCCGAGTCGAGTCGAGTCGGCAGCAGCTGCGTTTTCCGCTTTTCCACGATTTTCACGTCCTGCGATTCATTGGCAGCCTGACACTAATGAAAAAAGCCAAATCGTGTTTACTGCTGCGTGTTCGAAGCGATTGAAGCTATAATTCAAGTTTCACTTCTCATCGGCAGTTGGTTTTCCCCTTAAAAATATTTTATGGCTAAAAATAAAGTGTTTATTTTAAATAAAGCATTAAGTTAATGCACCTTATTGAACGAAACAAGATACTCGGATTATCGCAAAGCCTTTAATATATACAGTAAACATTTTTTCTTCTCCTAAAGTCTTTAGTCTGTACTTTTTTCCTATTTTGGCATATCATACTGACCTTTTCAGTGGCTAACTATTTATACATTTTTCGTGTAATTAACGTGACGGAAAAAACTGTTTTCCTTATCGTATATCAAATTAATGAAGTGAAGTTTGACTTTTACACGATTTTGCTTACATCAACAAATTTCTTGATAATAAAATGTAATGCTTAAACTATAAGAGTGAAGATTTTTTTTGCCTTAAAAATGTATTACTTGAAAGGTACAATTTAAAGATGTAAATGCTGTGAATTTTTCTTAGCATCAATAATGCTGTCTATTTTGGTTTGACTAATCTTTTATTGACACAAAACCTTGCGTGCTTATAAATAAAAGAACACTACGAAAACAAACCCGTCAAAATACCGCCTTAAGGGTAGGTAGTTTTTTTTGTTGTTGTATTGTAAAGCCTTAGCAAATATATGCGTGTTTTTGGCCCTTCTCAAAAATTGTGTCAGACACGAATGCGAATATGTATCTATATCTGCTCCTATATTTAGTTTACCCATCTGCATTTCAGTGAAATTTAAGGCATAACCTGTCATCCGAATGAAATGCAATCTCAGTCCAAAGTCCCCAGAGGTAGAGAGCCTTTCTATTGCAATTCGTATCCTTGCAGTCTGTCTACAGTTTCTCATTTCGCCTGACTCTTTGGAGGCTATAAATATCGCAAACATTTATCTGTTGACATTTATATATATTTAAAATCCGTATTTTTTTTTTTTTTTTTTTTTTGCATTGCGTGCCAATTTGTTTATATTAATGTCCCAAGTGATTTCGGTTGCCCATATCAACAGGGACACATTTCACAGAATGTGAGAAGAATGGAAGTGCCTTTGGCCTTAGATATGATCTGTTTGTGGGTTTTTCTCGGCTTTCCTTTTCAATTTTAATAAAGCGATTTGCAGGGTAAGACAAATGGAATTTTCAGGGGTAATAGATACTTGAGAGCAGATTATGTAGGTATTATACTCGATAAAAGCAAAATTCAAAAAAGAAATAATGCAAATAATAAAAAAATTTAATGTTGTGGTTAAATGCAAAAGTTTGTTAAGATCTCAGCCTTAAATCGTTTTGCAGCCAACTTTAGATTAACACATTTTTATGGAAAAAAAAGCTTTAATTACCAGCTTCATTAATAATAAAGTTTCGCACTCAAAGTTTGAAAACTTTTTGATTTCCGTTTTAATAGGTATCCCGTAGTTGTTTAAACAATTTTTTACTTCATCCTGTCAAGTTTTTCTTGGTATTTTTTGTTGTTTTTTTTTGCCTTCCGTTTGTTCCTGTTTGCCTGTTTGTGAGCGATGAGTTGTCTGTGTTGGCCATCTCTGGTCGCTTTCTATTTATACAGAAAACTGTTGAAATATTTTTGCATCATTGCCCGGCTATCTTTCTGTGTGTCCGGCCAGCTATTTTCCTTTTAGACATTTTTTTTCTTTTCTCCCTCGATTGTTTGTGGCTGACAGTCGTGCGAACCGCAAACTAAATGATAGGCCTGAGCTAAGGCTTTTCTTTTTTTTTGCCGTCTTGATAGCTGGAGAACCTGCTGCGTTGCAAAGGAATGTAGCATGTAAATTCGTTTTGACATTTTAATTACACCGGCACCGAAAAGCGGGAGTGTATAAGTGCGTATGTACGTGTTAACTTGGCTGACACATTAATGCATTCCGGCAAGATTAAGCAATCAGAGAGCGCTTCAATTCTGGCATAATTGGAGCAACCTGACGAGAGGAGGAGGTGCCATCGAAGGAGGAGGAGTAGGAGGTGGTGGCTCAAACACTCAATTTAGGCCATCAGCTAGTGGCTCGATGGCCTGGTTCACTTTCTCCCACCCACTTTCTTTCGCACTTTGACTCTCGTTTAGCGCCGAAACAAGTTACCCGCCGAACTTCCATCTTTCTCGGCCCCATCTCAACATTCTAATTTACTTTTATATTATGTTGTGCTGATTGCGTTGCCAGATCCTGCGGATCCATTACAGGATGTGTTTGTCGCCTGCCACCCTTATCACAATGATGATGCCGCTGCCAGCGACAAATTGCCGGAAATTGACAACAAATTTCCAGCTCACACACGCACTTTTCCCGTTTTCCCGGCCACATAAGTTGCCCATTTACTAATTCTTGGGTCCAGTGTTTGCCGAGGTTTCTTGGAGCTCCAAGGGTGCTCCTTGGCATATCAATGGAATGGCTACGCATATTGACCGGAATGTGTAATCGAGTCAGCAGGGACAACTTTGAACTTTGTCAAACCCTTTGAAAGTTTTTGAGAGCCCCTAAAAGCATATAATGCAAACTATTCTAAATATGAATTGGGCTTAAATTCAATTTGGCTCAAAGGGCTTATCGTGCCGTTTTACTTTATGCTTTTATCTAAGGCAATCTATTTTTGCATAATTTACACTTTTTGCCCTCATGGCATACAAGTTAAAACATTTGTTTTTATTGGACCAGCATTGACTTAATGTTGTTTTGAATAATACAATATATGCAAATAGAAATTGTTGTTCGATTTTTAAAGGGATTCATGGAGGTAAAAAAAGTTCATATATTAATATGAATATTAAACCATTATATAATTTATTCAAGACTGCTTTCTTTTTTTTTATTTTAAAGCTCACACTCTTTTTTGTATACGTGCATTCATTAAGGCTTATTACTCATGTATTATTTACAGAAACTAAACAAGCTGCTTTAAATGTGCATTGATTTATTTCATATCGCAACTAAAACTTGTTTAATTAGGAACATTTTTAATAACGTTGCACCAATCCTTTGTTCAGAAAACCACTAGATTTTCTGTTGTTCCACACAAGAGTATCCTCGCACGAGTTTAAAAGCTGGATTATATTGAATATTAAATCGGATTCTAATGCATTTTCGATAGCGAATACCGGCTGCAGCTGAAGTTTGGGGATTTGCATATAGAATGAAGGATTCCCGAGCTCTCCGAACAGCTCACCCACTCATCCACTTCACCGCTGTCAGTTGCACTTTTGTTTCAGTCCATAGACCTTGGCTTATGCATATATTAGTGGATCGGCCGCATAGAATTCGGGTTCATCAATCACTTATGGAAATCAATACGCTTCCTATTACACAAAACCCCAAGTGGGGGAACCTATTGTGTTTTGATGTTTTTGAATTCCCAAATGACTGGATGACGGTTTCAGTTGCTTCTGCACCTTCGTCCTTTTTTTTTTTAGTATGATTGGAAGTGTTTAAATATGGGTATTCCTATGTTTACTATGCCACTATTTGTGGTTAGTTGAAACGTGCTCTAAATACAAAAAAAGTGTAAAATTACTCAGGGGATTGCCTTACTAAATAGAAATCTTTAACAGTTTCTAACTTACAGAACTCCTAACAGAATTCAAACAGCGTTTGGTGCTTTCCAACTTTTCCCATAGATGGTGCTTTTCTGTTCGCGATTGTCTTTTTCTTGTGTAGACTTTTCTTTTGCCTTTTCATCTGACGTCATAAGGACAATGCTGACGTCACAGAAAAGCTGCAATGTTTACACGAAACGCAATGGAATGGAATTGATACGTCTGTGTTTCGTTTCCGCACGTGTCTTTCGCGCCAAATTTGTTGTTTGCCATTCTGTTTTGTTGCTGTCCTTCTGGGTTACGGGAACAAAATCCCGTTTCTCTCTTTGCCGGAGAGCAGAGGGGGCTTGCTCTTACGGTTCTTTGTTTGTTATATAACACGTGCTCGGACAGAAGTTAAGGCCCACAATGGAGCTGGGATGTACTGATAAAAATGGGGGGATAATATGACTAAATTTATTTTAGATTTTAAACCAATAAACTGTACATTGAACATTTTGATGAAAATTTACTGCAGTAATCCACACTAATATACACACTTTTTTTGCTACAAAAATTCTACTGCGTTTATAATGCGTTTATATTTTTCTGATTAATGTTTAGTTCAGAATTAAGAGATCGGATAGATCATATAACCATTGTAAGTATGATGATTCAATGTATAAAAGGGAACAGTTTTTAAAATAACTAAACCGGCAAAAGTAATGTTACTTAAAACTTTCGATAAAAGATCTTTATTAACATCAGGGGAATTAGGTGCACTGTGATCAAGAGCTGTAAACACTTCTTCAGAAATATGTAGATTAACAGATCATTTCGATATCGCATTGTTGACTATGCAGATTTGAGCGTGCGACAACTCTAGTTAACTGCCTCCATCATTCAGAGCTGGTTAAGAGAGGCGGCGTGCAGAAGAGCGCTGTTAAAGAGCGTTTTTGAAGGACCGCGACACAGATGCACGCACACCAACACGCTCGGTGGGTCGTCCTGCTCCTGGTGGTGCGTGACTTTGGACGCCTGATGGAGCCAGTCACTGAAAGATTGGTAGCAGTGCCTCAGTTCGTTTGTGCTGCCAGTTGGATGCAGAACGCCTCGACAACCGAGCAAAACACATACTAGTATATCCGTGGAATCGAGCTAAAATATATGCGGTATGGTGTGCGCGACTGTGTCACCTTCGCGAATTAATCAAAGCGTATTTGAACGGCATTATCATGCTGGCGGTTCTATTTGCCCCACAAGGCCACCGCCCACGTGTCGGACGGATTTGTTGTGTTAATTAGTGAAAAATGTCAGACCAAAAAAAGGAAATAATAATTTAAAACAAAGAAAAACGGGGGTGCAAGGAGTGAAAGTTATTGTGTGTCCTTGGGCTCAAGGGAGTGTAATATATACATATGAGCACATGGTGGAATAAAAAACGAAATTGCTTTTTTAAGAAACAGAGCAAAAAGGAGTCAGGATTACAAGGCAGAAAGCAATATTGCATGAGGAATCGAGAATTCCTTTGAGTGCGTGGCTGCAAACGAGAATTTTGTAGCACACTTTTGTGCGCAGCGTTTGAAGAAACTTCGTTTTTTTTTGACTGCCAAAAATCGATCCGCCCCGTTGTCCCTTGGCGTTTTTGTTTACCAAGCCCTGCGAATTACTTTCAAGTGAGCGTTTTTATTTTTACATATGCTGGCTGGTCACAACTTTGTTGTCTTGTTTGCTTACGTGAAAGACCCCTGCAGGTATTCAGCCATGTTTTCTGCTGCCTCGCCTTGACACATTTCGTTTTTGGCCATTGCGACTCGCTGCATGCAACGGCAAAGGCAACGGCAACGGCAACGGCACTTGGGATGCTGCAGTTTATTTAGCTTATCTGTTTTGCCTCGACAATATATTTCTTGACACACCCACCCGCTCACAAATAGTTGCCCATCGTTCGTGGCTGAAATTTTCAATTAGGTTTTATGACACATTTCGTTCGCCGACATCGATGATGCAGCCACCCTCTCGACGACCGCCACCATTTCGTACTTTGTGCGCCACCCATTTAGTCGAAATTGGCCAAGCAGCGCAAATTTGCATACCAATTAAGTTTATTATATATTTACTTTAACTTTCATTAAGCCACTCGGCGATACGCGGCCCTGTTTTTGTGGCCTGTAGATGGGTGCAAATGGAAACAAAGTTTAATTAGGCTGCCAAAGGTTTCGGCAGTAACGTAACTATTTAAAAACTTTTATAATTTAACTTACTCTGTATTCAACTTGTAAAAATAATTTAAATATTTGTAGTTTTTAATTGGTTTTATGCAGTTACACAACTTTTAAATAAAAATTGGTTTGCTTTAAGTACTTTGTATTTTAATTAATCAGTAATTCATTAATTAAATTTTAACTGTTTTATGTTTGTGGCAATAAAACAAGTGACATTTTTTGTTTAGAATCAATATGGCTTATTACGATTGTTCGTTTAATTATATCTTTAGCTCGCTGAATTTATTTTATATTTCGTTTGTATTCATTCGGCTGGAAAACCATAATCAAATTATATTATTGTACTTATTTATGTTGCTGACAACAGAATCAGCAGCAGCCATGAATAATTCGGAAATTGCGTTTGGCGAATAAAATAAGAGCAAACGGAAAAGGGCAAAGTATAACCAAATCGAAAAGCCACAAAACCTAAAATAATAATAAACATAAAAATAACATAAAAAACAAACAGATATTGGCTTTACCAACGGCAAGGAACCCCATAAATGGGCGGGTCGTAAAAAGTACTTTAAGGCGAGCAGCACACATGGCGTATGAGTTATACTTTGCATTTAATTCCTTACTCATTTTACTTGGGCTGCAGCAGATTCCAGAGAAACAGAAAGGTGAAGGAAATGAAAGAGGGAAGGAAAGGGAACCCAGTTCACTGACTGGGTAAGCTGGGAAAATACCTTAAAAAGCTAAAAGTGAAAGCTTAACAAAATTGAGAAAAACCACCAAAAAGGCCAGCAAAGTGGGGGGAATGCGGCGAAAACTTTTGTGGCTACGTGGCTGGGACTTTTGGATGTCCTGCCAGGACGAAGGGGAGTGGCAGGCATCCTGGCAGGATGTAACAGGCTAGGCTAATCCCTGGCTAACGCCCCTATTTTTCGCCAGTGGGAGGAAAAGGGACTTTGTCCGAGGGCTGGCAAAAGGTCGAGTTAATCTACGGTTATGCCACACTGCAAATTGTGGCCCAAAAGAAAGAAAACAAAAAAAAAAGAAAGGAAAAAACACAGGACAGAGTAGAATAACGTACATCTGGTGGAAGTTCTACATGTTTATTGTATGAAATATATATATGTGTGAATCATTGGAGCGCCCCAGTGCAGCCATTGTCATGCATTCCAAATGAGTGACTTTTAAACTCAAACTCAAACAATGTATCCCAAGTTATAATCAAAGCATCTGTTTTCCCACCAGGGAAAAGCCTGCAGCTTAACTAATTCCTTCGCCCTTGGAGATTGATTAAAGTTGGCCAATTTCCACTTGTTATCCTGATGATGATTTTGCTGTGGCCACATTTAGATTGATGACTTTTTCATTTTCTTTTGGCAATCCCTAGTAGATGACACCGCCAGCCTCCGCCACTCATATAATTGACTAATGAGCCAAAGTTCAGGGTTCAGTAAATGTTTTTATTTTGTTAAATGACATTTGGGCATTGTGGACATTTAGCTGTTCGGGCATAACTTTTTTTGATTGTTGTCTGCGGTAAATCAACGAGAACGATAATCATGCTAATTTTATTCAGCATGGGAATAGCATATTTTCAAAATGCCAAACAGAGTGATATGGAAAGTTATAAATGGTATTATTAATTTAATTAGTTTTCGATAAATATTCGGCTATTGTTTGTTATGCTTTAATAGTTTAATCAAGTGTTAGCACTAAAATTACTTTTTTTGTCAATTAAAAATGATTTATTTGAACTGCAAAAGTTATAATAAAACTGAGAATAAATTAATTAAATTGTTATCGAATTGCATACATGGTAATCTGTATTGTAAATATTAAATAATGGCGTTTTCAAGATACCAGTTATATATTTAAATGGTTTTCTTTGCTTTACTTATTGTTCTTAATTCGTAACTGCCAAAACAAAAAAATTAATCCAATCTCTCTGAGGAAAAGCACTTCAACTTTTTCCCTTAACTTGGGCCCCAAGCATTTGTGGTTGGAATTTGCTCAGGACCCCAGAAAATCTTAATGCTTATTTTTATCTGATAAGTGATGACGGTTGCTGCCGAGAAAAAAACAGCTTGAGTGGACAGACTTACTCGATTTCTGGTTGTTTGTCTGTGCTAAATGTAATACACAGACAACTTATCACGCTGTATTAGCTCATGAACAACAAAAAATATATATTCTCTGGCTCTTCCACTGATTTGTTGTTGTTATATTTTGGAGACACGCCCACTCGACGGGGGGGCATCGTTTGTTTGTACATTATTTGTCTGTTTTATTGTGGAGATTTTTTCTAGTCGACTCCACTTCGCATTTGCCAGGATTTTCAAGCAGCTGAGTCACATGAAAATAAGTGAATTGTGCTGCCATTTTCTTTCTCGTTTTTCTTACGAATTTTCTCGAGTGAGTTTTGGGATAAAATGGTCTAGGCTTTAATATTATAGAAATTGAATTATCTATGCACTTAAAAGTCAGTTTTGTTTACCAACTTTGCTACAAAAATGTTCATTCAGCCGTAAAAGTTTTTGCCCAACCTTTTCTTGTGTTGGTCCAAAGTTTTCCTTTGAATATGGAATAACAATTTTGCGAATGGATACCAAAACCCGTTAAGCCTTTGCCAAGGAATACATACTTGAATCAAAGAGTTTATGTGTTTGACTTGGTAATTTTAAGCTGTTCTTAGACAGGTGTGAAAACGAAGAGAGTATGTGGTTGCTAAAAAACTTTTCTCCTCATATCAATATTTATACAGAGAGGAAAGGAAGGCGAGGCAAAGTCGAAATAAAAATTCAATTTCCCGACCACAAAAAGTTAAACTTTTCTCCGCAGCCACAAATCAATTTTCAGCTTGGCAAAGTGAACCGCCGAAATGGATAATAAGTGAAAAAAGGGAAAAAACAAAGTTATTTCATGGATGCTGGCCAAAAATTAGCGAACAGTGTTATACCATGCTAAAGATAAAAAAGGAAATAAATTGGAGTGAAAAGAAATGGGTTAAAAGCTGGGTGATGAAAGAAAGTAAGAAAGTTTAGAGATTTAGAGAACAAATTGGTAGTAGAAAATGCTTTTTTTAAAATCTGGTGTTCCTCTTAAAATATAAAAAATATATATATATTCCCACACAGGGAGACATTTTACGATTATTATGAATGAATTCCCCAGCTAAAAGTCTCTTAAGTTTAGTTCTCAAAGCCAAACAAGCTGAGTTATTTATACATAAAACAACTTTGTCACAAAGTTATGAAACTTCTTTATTATATTGTTGCATAAATACTTAATAGACTTGCCATTATTGCAATCCCTTTGCCCACCCTCTGACCTTCTTTCCTTGAATGGCAAAAAAAGGTCATGCTTTGTGCTAAAATCGAGTTCAAAGCGCTGCTGATGAGGGTAAGATACTGTTGACAACTTTTGGCCAGTTTCCTACGAGGGGGAATATTCATTTCACATGCAAATGGGTTGTATGGTGGGTTCAGTAATAGAAAGATCACACAAACTCGGTTTTAATGGGCTGAGGAAAAATGTCAACCGAGGATTATGCGCTCTTGAAAAGCGGTTTCACCTTCGCATTAGAGGAATTTTCAGCTGTGGATGTCGAGTGCCTTAACTGGTTGAGCAGATGTCGGCATATATTATGGGCTTTGCTTTGTTTTTTCCCACCACCTAATTTATGGCCAACACATGCGGGGCTAACACATTTTTTATTGTGTCCGCAACCTAAACAGCCTCCTACCAACAATTCCCACATGTTTACAGAAGTTCTGTTTGTCAGCCATTTTGAAAGACATTTCCGTTTCGGCCTCCCAACAATAAATGTCCTCAGCGGTGATATAAAAAGGAAATAACTATTGTCACATGTCTCACTTTTTCATTTTTTTCTGGTTTTTCTGCCCTTTTTGCTTCTTTCCGGAATCGGGGTGCAAAAGTTCATTAATTGATAAGGCGGCAACCTTGCTCCTGTGCGTCGGAAATCAGCCCAGGGAATTGTTCTAGGGTCAGCTTTGTTATATACAAAAAAAAAAAGCAAAAAGGCAAAGCCTATTTTCAGACATTTATTATGTATGTACATGTATATTGGTATGTTAGAAAGGAAAATTTCACAAGCATAGGGTCAAATACACGTTTAATTATAGCAAAATATGTTCAAGGGTTGTTAAATGGGGATTGTTTTAATTATTGCACAGTGGTTTTTCTTATAGTTTATAGTTATTTATTTCGTAATCTAACCAGGGTAGTTAAATAAAACTTTGGCGATTTAAAATCACTTAAACGGGTGCCTGAAAGTATGCAATATATTTTATCCATAAAGTAAATTGTTGTGTTTTGAATTTCTGGCTCTCACCCAAAAGTGTGCAATACAAAATACATTTGTAATCATAACCTTGGCAAGTGCTTGAGCAGTATTTTAGCCCCTGAAATCTTTTCCCTTCAATATCGCTTGACTTCGGGCCATTTAATGTCTTAGTTATGTGAAAGTTTTGCAAATCGCGTGCAGCACTTAAGTTTTGGTTAAGAGGAAGTGGGCGTGGTTCCAGTTTAGCACTCTTTACATTTGTTAATTGCGGCACTTAGTTGGCCAAGTTAATGTGTAGCATGCTAATGTCCTTTCAACGCACTTGGGCCAAGAAATTCTTTAAGCAACGCTTTGGGTACAAAACATTAAACTCAAGTAGCTGAAAAGGGTGCAATAAAATGTTTGTTTATATAGGTGGCATAAAAAGGGACAAAAGCATAATTTTGTAGTTCCAGCAGTGGATGAGAACCTTCAACTGGGAGTGTCCCAAAAGTAGGAGAAAAAAATTTAATTTTGTTCATTTCGCGTTCGCGTCATCTGGCAAAACTGCAGCTTTTTGTTTTGGGTTCGCATGGGTGTGTCTCCCTGTGAAATATATTTTTCATTATGCTGATGAGAAACGCTGTTCGCCGCGCCCCAAACTCATTTCAGCTTGAAAAGGGTCCGAAAACTGACTTATTCTAGGGACACATAATAAAAAAGTGTGATTAATTGCAGGAACTAAAGATAGAAAGTAAATTAAAACAGAAAGAGCAACATGCTTTCTTAGCAAAATAACTAATCATAAATAAATAGTTCAAGCTTTTGATTCTTTCAATAATAGCCTTTTTTTTATTACTTTCTATACATTTTTTGTTAAAAATAATTTCATTATTATATTCCAATTGTTGTTGTTTGATTGTTGTTCTGATAACATTATTAATAATTTTTAATACTATCTAAAGTTATAAGTGTTGTTACTTATTTAAAAATCCCTACTTACTGCATATCATCCGTATACTTAAATAAAAAATTAAAGGATTTTTCATCTTAACAAGATATTTTTGACTTGGAAATGTAGAATCCTAAAAGGTGTCAAGAACCCTCGTTAGCACATCAAACATCTCCCTTAGAGAATCGCAAACGTTCTGATTGATTGAATGGCTGCCTGATTGATCTTGTTGGTATTTGAACCTTAAACTTAGCGAATTTTTGCGTGCAGCGTGTCTGGTGCAGTCAATTAACCAGCCAGCGAGTGTGAGAGAGAGGAAAGGTCGCCGGGTCGGCAATTTATCAGTGTCACTTGGTTCCAGAAGACAACGACGATGTGGCTGCTGAAGACGCGAGCGGGATCGAACGTTAGAGCGGGACAGTCAATTGTTTGGGCTGATTGTGCTTAATGAAGTGTCGGATATGTCATGAGCAGCTACAATAAACAAGCCATCGCAGTTTGCAGTTCGCAGTTCGTGTTCGATGCAGATGCATCTCTAAGATACATAAAATATGGCCGGTGAAAAAAGAGTGAAAAGTGAAAAGTGACAGTGAGCAAGAGCCAGCTGAACTATGTAGGCCCAGATCACCGAAAAAAGAACTGGTAGCAATCGTACACATATCCCGAATCGACCCACGTGCCGAAGGAAATGAGCCAGAACCTCCAAGTGAGCTACACCGCTTTGGGCATGTCGGACGATAATCAAACCTGCAGCTACTCGATGCCCTCGGTGGCGTCGCCCACCCACACCAACCACCGCCTGCAGCGCAATGTCAACTTCAACGAGGACCTGGCCGGCTATCCCCCCAGCAGCTGCCCCCGCCCCGGCGGTCCGGCGCTTCTCCAAGTCCATCTTCCAGCGGCCGCGCTCCATGTCCGTGTGGAGCGACATCAGTCGCAGCAGCATGCGTCTCGATGAAAGGTGAGTGATGGCCCAAAACGAGGGGGGATCACAAATCGGGGGAGAAATTTTGGGTTCACTGGGAAAAAAGAATCTCTAAAATCGAAAAAATGATAATAAGAAAACAGGAAAGTTTGTAAAGCTAGCATTTTTTGTGTGTTGCAAATACACACAAAATACAATTTAATGAGATTAAATAAACATGGAATAATTGAACTAAAAAATGATAAATTAAATTTCAACACAGCGGAAGCAGCAAATTGTTTGTCTGGAAATGCTCATTAGGAAACAAATATTTTAAAATGCAAATTTAATTGCCTCGAAAGGATTAGCAAAATTTCTGAGAACCCTTCTTAAAAGAGATTGTTGTCGAATTTAAATGCCTTACAAGGATTAGCATAATTATTGAAAGCAAAAATCCCTTGTACTTAACTCGTGTTGCCATTTGCAAAAGTTTTGTAAAGCAGAGAAGATTTTGATTGCTGATAATAATAATACACTGCTTAGAATTATTCAAAAGATTATATATTCAATATTTTTTACGAAAATAATGATAATGATAAATAACCAAATATTGTTTAATGTTATCTATACTTGCTGATTCAAATTTGTAAATCATTTTTTATTACCCTTTACCTCTTTAGTAAACACTTTTTAGGACTTTTTCAACTAAAAATTTATGTTTTCTTTGAAATTGTTGCAGTACTTTTCTACAATTCTCAATGAACATAAATGTCAACACCTTACAAGGAAATCGTTTTAGAGAACACTTCAACTACCTAATCTACTTTGCCTTATATGTACATATATCGATTGTTATTTTTATATTGTTTTTTCTGTGTGAACAAGGGCTCCAAAGCAATTTGCGACATGTGGTGTGGTCGCCCGTTTTTGTTGTGTGGCCTGCCTTCAGGCGAATTTATGTGTTTTCAGTATTCTTGGGCTGATTGCGTGCGCTGAAATCTACATAAATATTTGCTTTTATCCGACTAAAGGCCTGACAAAGGGGAATATTCCCTCTGCGCTTTCTGTATGGATACGTGACGCACGGCAAAGTGTTATAAGCCCCATCTGATTACGGCTAATCTATCAAGGACGCAAATGCAATCGATTGGGTGTAGGCATTGATTTTATAAGAAAAGTTTTCACGTCTACCATTTATCATAATTTTCAATGAAAGGTATAAATCTAAATAATTTGATAAATTTAAGAAACCAATTTAACTAAGTTCAAAACAATAATGCTTTATACAAAAATTTGTTTAAGATTTCTGAGTGTCTATGATAGAAAGTGGCTTGCTTAGATTCCAATAAATTTGAATTGAAATTTTCATTTTTATTTTTGCACGAACCTAAATCTTGAAAAAAAGCGTTTGCATTTTTTTTATTTCTTGAATAATAGGATCTTTACACCATTTTTATGAAACAAACACATTGGCAAAATAAATTGAATATTTAAATAATGCCTTCTGAGTGCCACATAAACCCAAGACAAATTACTTTTTTATTATCTGAGATTTAAGCTTATTACATCGCTCTTTTCCATATTTGCACATTTCGTTTAAATACACAATTATGCATAATTGCTTGCCATTAATTCGAACGCCATGTGCCATCGCCATTAAATTCTGCTCTTGAATATCTGGAAAAGAAAGCTTAAATCAACTTTGACACCCGCGCAGAATCGTTTATGCTTCGAAGGATGGCCTCGAGGTCCGTTTAATTTAGTTTGAGCACTTTGACTTTTATTATCCTGTTAGCCAGCGCTGTCTGTGATTATTGTAACCGCCCCCAAAAAGGCTATAACGAGATTTAGATATAGATTTACTGGAGTGGCAATGAGAACGCTGTCTGGTGTGCTAATTCGAAATAAATGAAAATAAAGATAACGAGGTGGCCAATACTTTTCAACTTGGCTCTTAAAGATTATGCCCAATCTTTGTGGCCATAATTTATACAGGCCCGTTCAACAATTGTTTCATTTTGTGGCCGGAGTGTTTGTAATCCAATGTGGCTCTGTTTGAGTGGCAGGATGTGGCACGTAGCCGTCGGCCGGAAATTTGCCTTTGAAATTTTTCGAATGAAATATGAGTGGTATGATGGTGTGAGCCAGTCTCTCGTCAGTCAAGTCAACAAGTTGGGTGTGCAAACTTCTGCGGCTTTGGCCTGCAGCTCAGCCAATTTACGTCATCAGCCTGTGTGTGTGCCAATTAGTGTAAATAACTCAATTATGCTCGGTTCCTCCTTCTTTTCGGTGTGTAGATCGACACCTTTTTGATTGGTAATTACGCCAAGGGTGTAAGCCATCCTCACAATTGGCTTGTCAGCGTTCAGTAGGTATAGCCAAGTATATAACTATTAATTAAGCTCGCTGGCACAATGGATTCAACCCTATTTAATGTGCAAGAGCGTAATTGAAATGAATGATTATCGCCGGGTGAAAAGTAAAACGGGGGGAATGGCTTGCTAGATAAAGTTTAACGGCTCTTTAACGGTGTCTCGTGGTTGAAAACCTCAACTATGGCCACGTCTCTTTTGTATCGTTTAAGCCATTTTATTACAACAAGCACACACCGCTCAACCTTTTCACAAAAATCCTTCAACAATGGCCCATAAAAAGTCCAGACTGAAACGCCACCAGCACAAGCTCGTAATATATATCAAGAGCTACTGAAGAACATTAAGAGCTTTAGTTTCTAACCACACCCACAAAACGTTTCTGCACAGGAAAAAAATAAAGAAATTATAAATATCTTTATTCTGCTTTATTGCCAGCTTAAAGTCTTTTGTTATTAAACAAATCTTAATAAAAGAGATTGAAGAGGAGCTGTTGAAATAAGGCATATATATTTATTGTTTAAGTAACGAAAAGCTGACAAACGAAAACCATTTTGAAATAAGAGAATACCTGTATAATTTTAATGGAATTTATATTCATTTCTTGATCTAAACATTTTGCCAACAAATTTCAACAATAATTCCTTGACATGATTTTCTTAAGTATTTACCTTATCGTGGTTTCATAAATTTTTTCTTTTCCCTTTCAGGTGAGTGAAAGTGTCTAAATTAACGCAAGATTTTCTCCTTTGAGTGCGGTAAGTAATGCGATATGTGGGCGGAAAATGGACTTTATCATGTGAAAACTTGGCTGTTTGTCTGCGAGAAGCCCAAGAAGTTGCTCCTTGACGAACAAGCTATTAATAATGTTTTATCTGGGAGAGAACACCTTTGTCTTTGTTTGTTGTTCCGTGGCGAATTCCTCATAGGAATTTGCGAAATTTGCAAATGACTTCTAGCATTCCAAAGTGGTCTACGCCTTAGTCGGCCGCATTTCATTTTCTACTCACATACTCATAAAACAATCATAAAAAATGCCGCAAATCATCGCCGACGAAGGACAAACTTCCCCCTTGGGTCCTGCAGGTGTTCATCCTGTGCCTTTTCCCCCATCCTGGCAGACATTTCGTTATGCCAGCAATGTTTATGTTTAATGTTTCAGCATTGTTTATGTTATGTTTATGCTGTGGCTCGTGTGCGTGCCTCCTAATTGTGTTTTACGTGCCTCGGTAGGTTAAAATACCCCGCACTCGTGTAACTCCGGGATACTCGGTGTCAGTCTCGATTTGTGTAACACCGGAGTATTTGATATGCCTGTCAGTCCGTCGGGTTACGATTCGTTTGCAATTACCAGCAGACTTAATCTCCGGTGGCCTTTGCCGCTCTTCCATTTTGTTTTTTTGACGCCAAACGTGATGGATAGAAAACCTTGAAATGTTGTCACGAAAATAATGAAACTCGTATAAAATTACGTTTTATCGATTGATGCTACAGAAAATAAAGTATGATATATATTGGTATTAAGGAATATTTGGTGGCATTAAAACCTTACACCTTTTTAATTCTTAAAATTATCTTGACAGTTATTTTTTATTTTATTTATCCGTAATATTGTCCACACAAACTCAAAAACATTTAATGTATACCATAAAAAAATATATTATTATTAAAAATCCTAAATTAAGAGGTATTTTTCAGTCGAATCACATAACTTTCATAACTTTCATAACTTCTAACCAAATATTCCAACTCTTACTAAATTTTAATAAAAATTTGTGGAGTTTCATAATGTACACTTAAACTTATAGCCAAGGTAAAATTTACGCAGCTGTTTTACCTCTTGGCCGATAAATATTGCGACAAATATGAATAATATATTCAATTCCGCAGTTCATAAGATTATGAAGTAGACAAATTTGCTTGCCCTGAATTTATGGACTTGGCCATTCGGAAAACTAGTTCGCAATGCGTTCGCCCCGCAAGCAAACTCGATAAATCGAGAGCTCGTTGCCTTGCTCAACAGCTTAATAACATTTTCCAAGCACACTCTGCCGGAAAATCCCCTGCATTCCCCCGCCAAGGATTTCGCCATTCATAACCACAAGGATAAAGCCATTGAAAGTGCTCCTTAAATGGTTAAAGTACGAATATATTGCAGCATACTTTCAGGCAGGCGTTATTGCGCGCATTACGTATACGACGCGTTGCGTCATAGCGTTTCATTAAAAAATTAATGCAACAAGTCCTAACGACGGAGAATTAAAGCATTACCTAGATTTTTAAATGACCGTTCCGCATTTAGACCGTGCGTGTGGTAAATTCATTAATCTCAAATCAACAGGAAGCCCGCGGAAGTTGGCCAACATTAACGGCCACGACAATTTGCTTTCACTGAAATTGCCAATTAGGCGAGAGGATAGCTGCAAATGCAGCTGCGTTGAAGGCCAACGGAGGTCAACTGGGGTCGGGGAAAAAAGGTCTTCTGGGCTAAAAGGGAAAAAGGCCAGAAGCGGAAAGGCTAGTGTAAAAGGCCAGGAAAATGCCAGCGAAAATGTCATGAATGCGATTTGCGGCCAAGTAATTTATGCTCCTGAATGTAACCGATGGGCACATGTTTTCCTTGGGGGTTTCCCCCGCCACTTTCTCTCTTCTCAATTTCCCTACATAATTTTTCTCTTTGGTTAGAATCGTAATGCTTTCTCTTACTTCTGATCCAACCACGTGTTCGTGCTGTTTATGCTTTCACCTTGTTATTCGCAGTTCAAGCTCAAACGAAAGAGAGGGAAAATGCGTAGAGAGAGATAGAATATTTGGGGGAAAGAGAGAGGTATATAGAAAGCTGTGGGGAAGTAGGAACAAAGATAGAGGAGCTTCAAAGCATTGCCAGCTGTAAAATGTAATAAGGATATGGTCAGTTTTTCTCCTTTAATGGCCATAAAGCTTTATTTGTACTTCCTTCTAAAAAGCTTGTTTTGGAGACTTTAAGTTTCTTCAAAACAGCAACAGATGTCGCTGTCAAATAATTTTAAGGGATAAAGAGTCAAGAATATTTAAGATTACAACTTGGTTAAAGATTTTGTTTATAAACTAGTAATGCAACCATCAATAACCGTAATAATATTTTAAGGATTTATTACTTCTCAATGTGATATTGATATCCTTTTGTATCCTAAGTTGATTTTTCAATTTAACCATTCTTTCACTTTATTATTGTTATTCATACCTGTGAAATTGCTTAATAATTGCTTCCATATCTCCAGCAAGACAGCATAAATTTGTCCGCACGCTTGTTGATTATATCAACTACAGGCAGCAATTGAAATAGCTGAACGGACTCTCAGCCAGGCCATTCATTTTATTCCCCCTCTATGGCATCCTTTGGCCAGGACAACTACGATTAAGATGCAAAGTGAATATTAGTATGTTAACACACTTGGCCCCCTTGTCACCCGTCATCCGTAACCCGTAACCCGGCCCACTTTCCACTTGACTTGACTGGAGGCAGCTGCCTTGTTTTGTCGTCCCATCCTGGCTACTTGACTGCCGTCCCTTGGTCCTTTGCTCCCTTTGCTCCTGTGCTTGCTCCTTGCGTCCTGGCAAACTGTTTGGCTTGAGTGGCCAACCAGCCAACCAGCTGCGTGCCGCTGTGTCTGGCATTCGTAATGAAATTCAGCTGGAATGCCTGAGTTGGCCTAAACGTCTTGTTGCCGGCCGACTTTGCTTCGAATTGATTTATTGGCTCAGCTCGACTTCAGCCGAATATCTATTTGCTTTTTTTTCTGGATTCTTAAATATTACTTATGTAGATATGATTTAGTATCAGGAAGCTGTCGTATACAAGTGGTATATATATCATAAGTGATCGTTAAGTTGTTAGTTAGTAATCCAGTAATGAGCATAGTTTGACAGAACTTTGTTTACTTATAGAGGGTTGTTCGGCTGTCTTAAATGACAAATTTAAATTTATGGTTCTGTAAGGAATGTAATATTTTAAATTTTGTATAATTGTTATCATTTTCTGAATTTCATTTTACTACTATAAATCAATTTTTAAATTTTTCTTTAACTTATGAACTTCAATTTCTGAATTGTTTATACATATTTTGGAATATTATATTTTTGAAGGTGCTTAGGTGATGTTGAAATTATTAATAACATTTTTAGTATATTCTTTTAATAATAAAGAAGCTTTGAACTGCTAAGCACTTTTAAAAACCGGAACTTTTCAATGCGAAGAGTACATTTTTCTAAGAACTAATTCGATTTATTATGGCTTGTGGCAAAACCGGATGCTTTGCTCTTGTTGAAGTTGGCATTTATGGTTTGCTGCTTGCATTTCAATGGCTTAATATTCAGCTGGCCGCAAGCTCATTGCGGTTGCCACTCACCTGTTGCTGCTGGGCGTGAATTTAATTACGGCTCCATAAGTGATTTGTGGCGGGCCGCAGAGCTGGAATTCGGATATCTAACTGAATTCGGTGACGAATCGCAGCGAACTGAAGCCGTGCGAGTCATAAACAAACGCTAATTGCACTTTCAGGTTGCACGGCTGTCTGACTTTATTTCTATTTCCCATTTCCCTCGTCGAGTGCGAGTTATGTGGGAACCTGGCCCGAAAAGAAAAACAAACACCTGGCTAACATGGCCCAATTGCGCGGAGCTCTGTTAGCCGCTTAACAGAGAAGCTTTGAGCTTTCCCCGCTCGGAAAATCCTCCGGCATAACAGCCAATGTTAATGGAGATCGGGATTGGGAAAACATATATATATATGTTAGTCGGTCGGTCGGCTTTGTCGGCTTTCCGCGCTCGGTGTTCAGTTTGTTTTTATACTTCGCACATGAAACATGTGATTTCCCTCGAACGCTCGCCGCCGAAGCCAGAGTTTTCTTTAGAGTTTTCCCCCCTCGCTTTTCCGACCCGCCGAAAGTGCGAGCGAGAGAGCGAGTGTTCGTGAGTGCGTTCGTGAGTTTCGTTCAATTGTTCGTGTCGTGTTGTCGGTGACATTTTCCTAAACTAAAGCGAGATTTTCGTAACGGAAATCGCCGCTGTGCTAATTAAAAATTGCCTCAGTCGACCAACACAAAAAATATTCAAATTTGTAGTCATAGAGATTAGTAAAAAGTAAATAGTAAATAGTTGTAATTAAATCGCATAAACACTAAAAAATCTGCCATAAATCTTAGCCAATGTAGTAAGTGCTGTGTTATTAACCGCATGGCCCACATAAATCAATAAGACGCAAAATAATAAATCACCAAGTTCAAGTTAAATATTTAATTTCACGCCGAATGATGTAGATGGCAATAAAATTTTTGTGTGTGCGAATTCGTGTGCTGTCTACAAATCCATGTGCATAAATAAATGAGGCTGTGACCAGCCAGTTGACCCGTAAGCCGTAATTTATCCCCGGTATCCTGAGCACCTGAGGACAACCGAAAGTAACCGAAAGTTTCGCCGCGAATTTATTGCCAATGCCGCGCTCGCGCAATACAAACTCCTTTGGGCCTCATTGTCGGCCAGCAAAAGCAAAAGGCAGCACAAGCAACACGGCCTTTGTAAAAATCCTCAGACAAGATACGAAATCATAAACACCACACACACCCAACACACAACAAATAAATGCCAAAGGTACGTTTGAACACCTCCAACTTCGAGTGTATCCGCTGTTGACTCAAGTGTGCAATCGCCAGTGAATCCGCATCCGCATCCGCATCCGTATCCGCAACTCGCATTTCGAATTCCGCTTTGGATAAAGCGAAATTTGTTGTCCTTAGCAATTCTAGGTTTGCCTTTCCGTTTGTTTGCCCTACGTGGGTAATTCTTTATACCAATAAAAGTTTATCTCGAGGTGCCCCACACGCAGAAGTAGTTCGGGCCAAGTGTTTAGCTGGGCTTGGTGGCGCTATCGGGAATCTTCAAAGTGATGGGGATTCTAAATGGTGGAATAAAAACAAAGTAGTTTGAAAGGTCTAAAGTGGAATAGGTAAGGAGGGCAACAAATAAACCGAATGCTTGTTGAACATTTTAAATAAAATGCAGCTGTAACTGCAACGAGCCAAAAAATGTAACCATTTAAATTGAACAAATAAATTGTTCCTTTAAATGAAAGGTAACTTTTGTTGAATAGTTAAAAAAAGTATTTCAAAAACTTTTAAGATTCATTCGTTTTCGGATTGATAGTAGCAGTACTTCAATAACTTGCCTAAATTTTAACTGAATATCATTGATTTGTATTCATTCTTATATGAATTTTTAATACCCAAATACTAACATATGCCTTTAATTGTGATAAAAAATCTATAAAATTTTTTAAAAGAATAAATTTAAAATAAGCAAAAACTTCGGCTTTATTTGTAATTCCAAATCTGTTAAATCGCTGAAAAGTATGAAAAGTATTATGCTCTAATGACATTAATGCCATTTAGCAACCCCTAGGTTTTATATATCTGATACACATTCCATTCCCTAATTAGCCTGATAATGAGCTGGCGAAAAAAGTTATAATCCGATAAAGGAATTCATTTCAACTCCGCTGGTTAAGCTTGTTTATAAATATTGTGTGTTTGCCCTTTTTGGCCGAACCAGAAAAACCCCCTGCTGCGAGCTGATATACTAACTAACCCCTTTCAAATTTCTGCTCTTCCGCTTTCATTGCGGTTCTGTACTTGGTTTTGTTGTTTCTGTAGTTTCTGTTGCTTTGTTGCATTTGACATTATGCGCATTAAATGCGCTTGAAATGCTCCACTTCCACCGACTTCTCCATCCTTCCCTCCACGGACACAAACTGACATTGACAGCGATAAGAGGGTCGAGCAGGAGAGCCGGAAGTGTTGGTGAGGCGACAGGAGAGCCAGGAGCTAGGAGCTGGAAGCCAGGAGCCAGGAGCCGGAATCCAGGAGCCAGGATGCAGAAGACGGGAACCCGGGGAGAATGGAGACAGAGGTAGACAGCTGCCAAAGCGCTTTTGTAAATTATGTCGTTGAGGGGCTTCGGCTCGAGTGGGTTTTATGGGGAAAGTAACCAAAACCGGAATAAAGAGCACTAACCGTATGGCAGGACATAAACATGTGTGTTCGTTCAAAAGTTTCCCAGCTCGGTTCGAAAATTGTGCCCCTCTGCCTTTAATTAAATATGTACAGAGCGCCGTGGTTGTGCGGGCGCTTAAAAGTAATTTCAATTTGAATTTAATATTCATTCTAATTTTAATATGGAAACGCTGTTCGCGGATTACTGTGCGTATACGTAATGCTTCGGCTTAATTGCGGGTTGGCGGAGCACTTTAGATGGGGTTCAGATTTAAATGACATTAGCGCCAAGATGCGCGGATATGAATTTAAAAGCAATGTGAAAATCCGCCAGTGACATTAGTTGAGCTCCAAAAGTCCGTAAGCCATGAGGAAAATTACAATTTTTATTTGGTTATTGTTCAGTGGAGTGATTTCCTCTGGGGAACGCATTCAGTTTCTTAAGGATTTTCTGGAAGCAGTGAACAAGGAAAAGGCTTTCTCAACTATTCTTCTGATGCAAAGGGAGTTTCATAAGAACGATCTACTAGAAGGACTATATCCCATATTGTGGCCTATAATTCGCTTAGATGAAACTGAAACCATTGAGTTAATTAACTACTACAACAGTGAAATGCTTTGTCTGGTTTATTTGGAATTCCCTGAGGATATAGTGATAATTCCAGCCCTTGCTGAAAATACAAATCATATGAGAGAAGCAAGAATTGCCATTTTTCTGCAGTTCAAACCTTCTACAAATTTCCTCCAAGAAATTGCCAATCAGGCTGAAGAGTTCAAGTTTCTCCATATGTTGATTATAGAAGATTCTTTGAAAATACAACGACTTCAACCATTTCCCCAGACCAGTTTCCAATTGATCGATCAACCATTTGAGGAAATGAAAATATTTCCACATCAATATTGCGACTTTATGGGTAAGGTTGCTTTAACTTTACCAGATTTTGTTCCACCTCGAAGTTTTTTCTCTATTGATCCTCGAACGGGAAGAGAAAAACCAAGTGGCTACATATATAACGTAATGAAAACTTTTTCTGAGAGCCACAATATCACGTTGAAATTAGAAACTACACTGAACGACACTGCTCAAACGGAAATCATCAGGAAAACAATTGAGGGAGAATTGGATCTGCCAATTTCGGGGCAATTGACAAACTTTCGACACGCAAATGGAAGTAGAATCGAATCCCTATTGGGAATTACAGGAATTTCCATTGCAGTTCCTTGTGGCAAAGAGTTATCGATGCCGGAAAAGTTGTCCAAGCGCCACCGAGAAGCCTTACCAATACTGTTTATCACTTCCTATATCCTTATGACTTCAGTGGAAGCAATATTGCGAATCCTGTGGAATAGAATCCGAAACATTTCTGGTAACTACAATATCCTGCACATGGTAATCAATTGTCGGGTTCTTCGCTGCATTCTATGCATGTCAATTCCAATGGGAAATCAATTCAGATCTGTCAGAGGTCAATTCACCATGGTGATGAGTTTCACAGGAGTGATTATTTACTGCATGGTAGCTGCCCAAATCAGCACTATTTTGACCATGGGTCCTCAATACCATCATGCCATGAACTTTGAGGAGCTGCGAGAAAGCAATTTAACCGTGGTCGTAAACCGATTGAATTTTGTGTCGATGACAATGGGAATGGATTCGGATTTTATTTCAGAAAGTCTACCGAATCCTTGGATTGTGAGCTCAATTGAGCAAATGAAGATGATCGGGGCTTTGAATACGAGCTATGCCTATCAGATATTTACCTATAAGGGCGATCCCTTTACAAATCTCCAAGAACACTCCATCCGAAAGGCTTTCTGTAGGCCCAAGAATTTGGAAATCATCAATGGACTGTCTTTTTCCTCAATTCTGCAGAGGAACTCCATCTACGCAATTCCCCTGCGGGAATTCGCCAATCAGCTTTGGAGTGGCGGAATTTTGGTACACTGGGTTGAAGAAGCGGTTCGGGAATATATCAGTAGCATCAGGGCAACGCGATTTGGAAAGCTGCCGTTTGAGTCCAGATTCAAGGCCCTGAACCTCCAGGATTATGGATCCACTTGGCAACTCGTATTGATGGGTTACTCTCTGGCTATTTTTGTTTTCATCGGTGAAGTTATTTTGGGAAAGTTAAAAAGACGGTTGAGAAGAACGGTTGCCTAAACAGAAAAATATATATGCTTAAAAAATATAAAATTGATACCAATAGCTTAAATATTCCTAAAAGGACAATATGCTTTTTATAAGTAGTATAAAAAAAAGGAAATTTGTATCTTATATTTGCGAATGTAAACATTTTTATTTTGCTGAATTATTATAATCGTTATCGCCTTAATATTCAATATAAATGTTGAACAATTAAATACAGTACCTAAAAGTACTTGAGCTTTATTCTACCAAATAAAAACACGCACAATTGAAAACATTTAATGAAGTATCCTAGATAATATGTGTATCCGCTATTTCCACACCCATTTGTACGCTTAATAACGCCTTGGCTAATGGCAACAATAAATGATTTGAACGTGGGTTCAAGGAAGCTTGCATCATTACGGGCTCTTTGACTATCTGGGTTCTCATCAATGGCAATAAAAACCCGGCCATAAAGGGGGCACAAATGACATATGTGACGATATGCCGGGCATTTATGATGCCGAACCAGACACAGTGGGTTATGAGAACCAATACCAACACGTTTGAGTGTGGGAACAGGACTTAAAGTCGCCATATGGGGACACTGGGACACCCACAACAACCAACCTTGACCGTATTTTTGGACTGTCCCGACTCCTGAAGTTCGACAATTAATTACTGCATAATAAATGCCTGTGATTCGATTGATGAGTCGGGCGTGTCGGGGTTCCTTGGTCGCCTGCAATTAGGGATAGAATGGATCGAACTGAAGAGTGAGTGAGCACTCGAAATCCAATCGATTGACGTCAACGTAAACGAAAATTGGGCAGAAGAAAAGTGGAGTGTAAGGTGACACAATCCCACAAAGGATACACATGCCACATGCCACAGGCCACAGGGCGTATGCGTCACGTGAACTGTCGAATGCCACCAGAAGCAAAAGGGTTTAAGTTCTCAACTTACGCGTTGCTTTTTTATGCCCGACTTAACGCGAAAAAATATACGAAATCCCCCCCGGCTAAAGTTACGATTGTGCTCTCTTTGCCGCCGTTTTATCATTTAATTAAAATTTAAATTGTAACAGCTAGCGGAAAAATCTGGAAGGCGGCAAGCAGAAACAAAACTTTTCACATATCTGAACAACTTTCGCTGGCTTTCGTCTCTCCCTTTCTGAGAATTATTTATATCGCATACAATTTGAATTTCTGGTATTTGCATTTGTCAGATTGTTATTTGCTGATTGACGTTGTATACATGTGACGGTGTGTGTGTGTGTGTGTGTGTGTTCTTGATTGGACTACGTTCTCCCAAGGGAAAACCGGCGAAATGGACACCTCGCATGTCAATCTTCATTCGAAGGAGTGTTGAAAGGCACTAGTTAAAGGTTATGGAATCATTAGAATTGAAATCCATTCGTTTGCATTAATTTTTTTTACTGCGTTCTCCGCTGGGAACCGCATTCAATTTAATCCACAGCTAATTTGCCTGCCAATGCAAAAATGATTTGACCAACCTAATATTGCATTCGCATGCCATTAGTATTTATGTTTGTCGGTCAATTTGATGGCAAAATGCAAAATATGCCAGGCCAGCAGAAGTGACTCGGTCAGCATACTTAACCGCATTAAATTCGTCAGTCCGTCAGTTGGCCGAAAATTAATTTGATGCTGAAATGTGTTTTACAAACACTAAGAGAAAATGCAGCAGAAATTGTGTTGAATCTGTATTTCTTCAACAAAAGGTATTCATTTGTAAAATTTACTTTATTTCACTTTTCTAATTAATTTGCTGTAAAGTTAGAAAGCTTTGATGTAGAAAAGAAAAATAAATCTCTTAAATTGTAATTAATAAATTCCATATTTAAATAATATAGTAGTATAGTACATATATAGCATTTTAGTACAATATTGAAAGAATATTTAAACAATTGTTTCCTTTTGAGAATAATTGGGTAAATAGTTATTTGGCCTTGATTAAAGTAACTATACATTTTTAAATTGATTACTTTTACTTCGTTTTATTTTTGAAAATTTGTTAAATGAGCGCTGATTCAACCTACCACTGCAATTTAAAATTAAAGAACCAATTCTCAAAGTGAAAGCAAACTATGTCAGATTTCTCTTTTTTTTTTTTTGTAGGGTGAGAGGCTAAAACCAACAGACTGCGAAGGAAATAAAGGGGAGGGGCCTGTTGGGCAAAGTGTGAAAAGTAAAGAACCTCAGGGCTGCTCCTCTCGCAGCGAGTTAGGAAAAAGTTCAGTTTAAGTCAAATATTGGCTTGGAACAGCCACCGCCTCCTTTTTTGGTCCTTCCTTCCTTCCTTCCATTGGGATGTTGAGCGAGAAACGGCAACAGGACAATGCAGATGCAATAAAAAAATATAACCGGGCCAAAAGGGAAGCGGAATATAAAGCTGAATGACTTGCAGTCATTTCAGGGCAACTCGACTTTTAAAGCCGAGCCGTGATGGTTTGGGCTTTCATCAATTATCCAAGCGTAGAATGCAATTGAAATTTTCCGAAAAAGGGCGGGATCAGGGCTTTTATTATGCTTTACACTTGGCCACCATTTTTCCTCACGCCGCTGCTGGAAAATCGTAAATTTACAGCTGACAGCTTTTCCAGCCGAAGGAACGGGAACGAGTCGGCTTATGTCAGGCCTGGCTAAGTGCATGACAATCACAGATAGTCGCTTGTAGGAGGGGCATTGGCAAGTGGAAGGGGCCAAATGTCCTGTTTCGACCCGATTCGGTTGTTCTTGTTGTTGTTCTTGTTGCAACAAAAGGACCAAACAAACAAACAAACAAACAAACGAACGAACAGACAAACAAGCCATTCTACATATTGCAGCCGCTGGAACAAGAGACAGTTTGATGGACAGCCTGTCAACAGAAAGTCGGTTCATATTTTACTATTGCATATAGTAGCCTGACTTTTGGATTAATGGTCTACAGCAATTCGATTTGACGCCAAACACCGTCAGACAATGGAAAAAGGAAAACTTAAATTGGTTTTCTTATATTTGATTCATTGATTGCTTTTATGGTTTCTGGCAGCTTTCTACAAAGAGATAAAATTTTTTTTTTAAGTTTTTCCAAGTCTCTTGTGTATACTTCAATTCTACAATTTAGTTCCCTTGATATCCAGAACTGGATTTGAATAATTTAAAATAAATTGCTTAAATGTTGTTCTCAATTAAAATAAATTGTCAGAATTGTTTTTATAGTATTTTTTTTACCTAGACTATACTATAATAACAGAAATCCCAAAGGTATCTTACAAAAAATTGACTCTAAATGTCATGTGCATGTTGGGTTTTCCATTTAATAAATTGAAAGTCAAAGCTCTGTAAATATTTGACACAATGTGAAGGCGAATCCTACTGTTAAATGTTTTTCTTTAATTGCAATCATTTAAGGATCCAAGGTTTTATAGATAGAACTTCAGGTTTTTTAAGCTTGCAAGTTCCACTATCGCGAAAATTAATTGCATTGCCCCGCGATGCGTATTAAGATGGCCACTGTCACTGACACCGCATTTCAATTAAATCAACACATTGATTTAATTAAATTTCAACCGTTTTTCGAACTCGAGCTACTCAGAAATGGTTTATTTCTTTTTTCTGGCGCTTTATTTGGCCGCAGTTGCGTTTGGTGCGTGGTAGTTCAATTAAAAATGCCATCGATGTGCATAATTTATGCAGAGGAGAGTCGCGTGGCACTCTCCATCTTTCAGGTCGGAGCTCTTAAATGTATTCTGCTGAGTGTGTGTAAGGCCGCAGCGGAAAACGTGGAATGGAAAATGTCCTTTAAATGATTTATTTACTCTGTTAAATCAGCAATATCCGCCATTTCATGTCGCAATAACAATGTGTTTACATAAGGAAATCGTTTTAAAATGAGTACCTTACACCTACCTGCAGAGTTAGTTATACTAAATTCGGATTACTTTTCCGTAAAGTCCTTGTTGACACGACAAATGGCTTCATTAGTAGTACCCGCACTCATGGACGACCGCCTTTCAAATGCTCGTCAAGTGTTTTAATTACAAAAAGCGCGGCAAACAAGAAGCCAGGCAGCTCTACACATGAAATCCTAAGCCGCTTAATTTATTTACACGAGCCCCGGAACATGCTTGAGCCGCCTTAGCAGTTTACGCCACCTAAATTTGGCTTAAATGCTCCGAGCCACATGTCGACAGCCAAGATATAGGCCGAGAGCTCGTGCCTGGGGCCTTTGGACCGTGTCAACAATTTATTTCTGTAATTTATGCATGAATAATTAGGCCTTAACATCTCTGCCTGCCGCGATTCACACGGAATTTAGCTGAAAACAAGGATTTTTATTGTATAAATCAAATTTGCTCACATTATGCAGTAAAACGGGTGAATTAGATCTGCTTAGCGATTTTAAAAAAATTTATTCGTGGGATTTAAGGGGAAAAATTAAAGAACATAAAACAAGTAATGTTCTTCTACTCCCAAAGGAATACTTATTGTTTACGAAAACCATTTGTATAACAACTAAAGAAAAGGTACAATTATAAAACCAAATACTTTTATATTCGAACTTTTAAAACTGTATATTTATAAAGTAAAATAGGCAGTGACAGTAAAGTTACAAAATTTATAAAGAGACATTTTCTTGAAGTCTTCCCGAGTCTCTCCCAATTGCAATAATACACACACTCCAAAAGTGACAGGCGTAAACACCTGACTTACACACAAACCAACTTTTAGCTCATCATTTATTTAAGCAAAGTTTTCAAGAAATTTATTCCAACTTTCGCACAACTATTTTTCCTGTAAATTTCCCACTTTATTTGTTTGACACGTGCAGCGATGAAATTTTATATTTAGACTGGAAGGCAAACTTTTGGGCCACATAATGACTGTTGACAATTGCCAATAAAGGGAGACGGAAAGCCGGGAGAACGGGGATCCTGGCCCCACCTCAACGGACCCCACAATATTTTAGGCCTCGCTAAGTGCGATGAGTTTGCCATTTTATTGTAGGAACAGCAACAGGCTGTC